CCTTTAACGATAGGTGAGCCCAAAAAGAGCAGACAATGTGTTTCGGGGCAGTGAATCATTTGCCCCTTTAATTCCATTCCCTGTTAAATGAAAGGCAAATAAGAGGTAAAGTGTTTGTTAATGTAAACACCGATACGTCTAAACAGTTAGAGGCATCAGAATTGGCTGAAAGCAACACACTTTACGTCTATAATACACGTAATGCTACCGTAATAGCAGTTTGCGATCGAAATGCAATTCTTATCCATCTTTTCCGCCAATTCTTTCAATACATGTCTATCCGTTTCGCTGCCAATTCTCAACAGTCGGTGCCATTGAGTGCTATACTATTTATCTTTATAATGAGCTAAGACTACTGAGAGTACGGGGGCTGGTATGGAGGTATGAGACTGGCATAAGTGTGTTCAGTATTTTCTTATTTAAGAGCCGAGAGTTCAAGTGAATGAACACAGGAATCGACTCCAATATAACGGTGCGATTCTGTGTTCAGATTGATATAACTCTTACGGTAAACACAGTGAACGATACAAATACGGCATCTTTTTTATATTATATATGAATATATTATATATTATATCATATATGAAGTGTTAATCTTAAAGATTTTCATTTTCTCAGACAATACTACCGGCGCTCTCCCTCCTCCCCCTTCCTATTCACTACTTGTATTAATCATAGTCTCGTACGAAACACACAATAAAATCGATTCATATATTAGTTTATTCTTAAAATAATTTTTTTTCTCGTGTGTGAGCTATAAATACATTAGTTTTCAGCACAAGTTTTATATTAAAAATGCAATAAATTTCAATCAACTATTCGTTTCTCAACAGAATTTTCAGAGACTTTGTATTTTTCTTAATAAGAAAATCGATTCAATCGTTTCAGTCAACAATAAAACTCTTAAATTTAATTAATAATAAAAATTCAATTAATCAGTAAATACACGTAAATAAAATGGGAAATCTATTTTATGATAGCGATTGAGGGGTCGATAAGTTTTATTTTTTAAAAGTTTATTTTTATTTTGTCGACAATATATCCTAATGATTACACACACAAAGCCATTAAACTACAGGTCCTTTTGCTATCGTCAATAATGTGGAGACTGTATTAATCTTGACTTAGAAAATAATTGGCCGAATGTCCCGGGGATTCAGCATTAGATGGCTGTGTGTCTCAAAGTGGACTCAATTTTAGGTGACATTTACTCTCGGAGTGTATCCAACAGTTTAACTATTGATAGCCGTTTGCGAGACTCATCCTCTGATGAGTGACACAAAAGTGACTCTATTTTTGCCGACAATTTAATGATTCAATTAATGGCTTAAATGTGAGAAGCATTTCATGTGTCCCTTCACTACAGGCTTTTGTGTTTGGGCTGAGATTTGGTTCACGAGTTAAGGCGAAGCAATGGTTTATCGCATGAAATGTTTTGCTTTAATTCCGAGATATCATTAACTGAATAGAAAATTGTTTATAACTTTCCGAATGACAAACTGTTATGACTGTTGGCAACGAGTGATCAAAAGTATTTAATTAATACTGTATTTAATAAAAATGATACTTCTCAATATTTGTTATGATGTACAAATAATTTCATAATTATAATTTATTTAATTATAGTAAAACTGAAATTATGGTAGTAAGACATTCAGTAATATACTTTGTAAATTATTACTACAGTATATAAATATATAGTTATATCATATTTGAAATATAAATGCTTAATATAAAATAAAAATATAAATTTAAAAGGTAATTTTAGCAAATTTGGTTAATAATTATAGATTACAAATAAATATGCGACTTAATTATGATATAATGGTCAGACATGGCTAGACTAATTATATTTTATAATCTATATAATAATTCATAAAATAAATTTATATAATTTATTGATAATCGTTTTCATTATTAATAAATAAATTGCATTAAAAGTCAAAAACAGAGATCAAAGATAGCATTAATATTGGTTGATTAAGTTTATTATAACAATTGCTATTAAATTAGCAAACAAAAATCAAATAAACACTTCACACAATTAGGATTTCATTCATTAATAATGAATTAAAATTTTGTTTTTTATTTTAGTTTTAAGAAAAATAATAAATAAATTCAGATCAATCATAATCTTTAAATTAGATTAATTAATCACTTATAGAGAAATAAGTTTTTATTTTTTAATTTCTTAATTTTTAAAAACCTAATGAGCTCTCTCTCTCTCTCTCTCTCTCTCTCTCTCTCTCTGTCAAAATTGAATGATTAATTACTATAAATAAAATCACATGAAAATTGTATTATAAAATAAATAATATTATTTATAAATCTGAATATTTATAGCAATTATATAAAATCACTGGAGAGAGAGAGAGAGAGAGAGAGAGAGAGAGAGAGATGACTTAAAACCCACACATTTTATCGATAAAATCAGATTAACTGAAATTGTTGGACACATCTCTTCAAAATTAAGGGTAATTTTTAATTTAAATTATAATTAAATATAACATACTGTATATTAAATAATAAATAATAAAGAATTAATGTGGTTCAGTAACTTATTCACTGTAAAAAGTAAACTATAATTAAGAGTTAAGGAATTTTTAATTATAAAACAGTGAAACAGTAGATAATTACAAACAATTTTTGTTGTTAAATGAGTCAAAAAAATATATTAAATTTTTCATTTATAAATTTTAATATTAATCTCGCTCTTTATTCTCATTTATATATTTTGAAAGCTTATTATTTTTGAAGATTACTTTTCGGTTCATTTTTTACTTCAATTATATATATATATATATATATATATATATTATCAAACAATTTTTTAAAAATGTGAATATATTTTGTAATGAAAGATAAACATTAAATCTATTTTTTGATTACATTATATACTCTGCAAGAAATCAATTAATTCTCGGAAAAAGATTTAGACTTTATATGAAAATCCGCTTTAAATAATATTATTTATAAATCTGAATATTTATAGCAATTATATAAAATCACTGGAGAGAGAGAGAGAGAGAGAGAGAGAGAGAGAGAGAGAGAGATGACTTAAAGCCCACACATTTTATCGATAAAATCAGATTAACTGAAATTGTTGGACACATCTCTTCAAAATTAAGGGTAATTTTTAATTTAAATTATAATTAAATATAACATACTATATATTAAATAATAAAGAATTAATGTGGTTCAGTAACCTATTCACTATGCATCATTCAAGTATATTTTAAAAGTAAACTATAATTAAGAGTTAAGGAATTTTTAATTATAAAACAGTGAAACAGTAGATAATTACAAACAATTTTTGTTGTTAAATGAGTCACAAAAATATATTAAATTTTTCATTTATATATTTTGAAAGCTTATTATTTTTGAAGATTACTTTTCGGCTCATTTTTTTACTTCAATTGCATATATATATTATATCAAACAATTTTTTAAAATGTGAATATATTTTGTAATGAAAGATAAACATTAAATCTATTTTTTGATTACATTATATACTCTGCAAGAAATCAATTAATTCTCGGAAAAAGATTTAGACTTTATATGAAAATCCGCTTTAAATCGGTCTATGAATCGATTAATTACTCCAAAAAGGATTTTCACTTTCGTAACCATAATTAAATTGAATTGAATTTCACTTCAATATGAAAGACAAAATGTGTATTCAGTTCATAGCACTTGTTATATGAGGTATTAAAAGTAATCATGGATTGAAACTGAATTTTATATCATTAAAGCTCTCTCTCTCTCTCTCTCTCACTCACTCACTCTCTCTCTCTCTCTCTCCTCAATGGATATAATGTTCTTAAGAACTGTTAAGAGATTAAAATAATTAGGATTTTCGGGGAAAGTAGGAAAGGATTTTCAGTTTTATTACTATAATTAGAGACACAAATTGTCATTTGGAAAAGTAATGACAAAAATTTATTTATTTTTTGTAAATATTTATAAAAATGTATTAATTCTCTCATTATTTGTTTAAATTTCTAGTTAATAATAATTATTTTTTATATCGGAATAAATAAAATAATTGAAGATAATATAAAAACCCAGTAATAAAATGGTTATAAAACGACAACCAATAGGTTATATATAGCTGACAACTACCTGTTCGGGTAGTTCGGGCTCACCTCTAGTTTGGGATCAGATAAGTGTTGATACAATTGTAGGCCAAACACGAGATTTATTCTGTAGATAATGGATGGAAAATTTAAATCAACGGACGGCTGAGTGATTTTGAAATAGTAAGACATGTGAGCGCCTATAGCCTTGCTCTGGTCGCCAAACATTCTCATGAGTCCTATTTATTGAGAGAAAAGACAAGAATTGACAATATATTACATATTGTATTAGTTCATATACGGTTGAAAAGTATTTTCTCTAGCGTTTCAATTCTAGCGATTCAATAAAAACTATAGAAATAGATATAAAAGATATAAAACAAAAGGAAAAATATTAAGAATAGTATTGAGAGACAAAAAACAGATTGAATTCCTGAAAGACATAAAAAGTAAGTGAAGTAAGAGTTTAGTAAAGAGAGACACAAAAGATATGTTTAAAACGGTTTTCTGTATACATTTCAACAGCAAAAAATATATGAAATTTTTATAACTACTGTATTGTATATCCATATCTAAGATTCATAGCACCTAATACTCAGAGCTTAACAAAACAACTGATGATAAGACAAATACGAAATTGATTTTTCTATTTGTGTGTAAATCCGCTGATTTAATAACAAATGTTTTCCTATTCTATTAGTTTATAATGTATTCTTAAATATTCCTTAAACAGAGCTATATTTAGATATATTTTTTGTGTTTACACTATTTATAAAACTACTTTTCACTGGAATTGACTTTTATTTTCTATAGAAAATTAATTTAATTTGCGTTTAGAAAAGAAATTTTCAAAATACAATGCAAGCAAAATGTAAAATAAGATTTAATATTAAAAGAATTGTTTTGTTTCACTAATATTTGTTTTACAATCATTTATCACTATTAATATTTCTTTCTCTCTCTCTCTCTCTCTCTCTCTCTCTCTCTCTCTCTCTCTCAAAATCAATAAATTAAGAAAAAACTATTTTTCAAACCATTTGACAATATATTTACANTCTCTCTTTCTCTCTCTCTCTCTCTCTCTCTCTCAAAATCAATAAATTAAGAGAAAACTATTTTTCAAACCATTTGACAATATATTTACAAAAACCCAGTCTTCTTACAAAACATAAGTATTAGAAAAACTTTATTATTTTTGTTTAACCTTTTTTCTAAACTATTGTATTCTGCAAATGAATTAAAATAAAATAAATCTTAGTTTATATAAAATGTCATATATTTTCTTATTTACTG